TCTAATAGCTTTCGTTTTTGTTTTTAATCCAGTTCTGTGTCCCCTTGGAGCTACACCAAGAGTTGAGGGATGCCTTCCCCGCTGATGGGGCAGTGGTTCTTATAGTTTTAAGCCAGCTCTCCCTCTTCTTTTCTCACGGTCCCCTTCATTCCTACCCCCTCTGAGTACTGAGTTGTTAATGATCTATCAAATGTGTACATTCTCCAGGGAACCAATTAATTAAAGAAAAGGAGAAAATTAATCCTCTGGTAAAAATTGACTTTGTGACTTCAGATTTATTTACATAAGATGTACCCCCTTGGTGGCTCCCTGCCACCTCCCCACCCACTCACTAAACAGACTTTAGTGAGAACCTACTGAGCAGCAGCTCTGGGCATAGGATTATTCTCCTAAAAGAGGCCTTCCCCGACCACCCCAGCTACAAGAGCACCCTCTCTCACTTTCCCCTCCCATAACTGGATGTGTTTTTCCTCAAGTTTGGTCCTGATTAATATCACACTCATTGATTACTTGTCTGATCAGTCTCCTCAAGAATGTAAGCACCGTAAAACCAGTACCAGTTGACACTGACTCATGTGTGTCAGAGTAGAACTGTACTCCATAGGGTTTTCGATGGAAGATTTTTGTTAGATGTCTATCACCAGGCCTTTCTTCTAAGCCACCTCTGAGTGGATTTGAACCTGCAAGCTTTCAGTCAACAGTGAACATGTGAACTGTTTACATCACCCAGGGACTCTAAGCCCTATTGATGAAGTGTTTATCTCTGGTCCCTCAAGCACTAGAACAGTGCCCAGGACATGATATGTACTCAATAAATACCTGCTAGATGAATGGATTTGTCAGTGGTATCAGACTGATACTGCGTACTTAAGGAAGAGTTGTAATACATGTTCATTCACTGCTGCCACCTGGTCAAAGTTACCTGTCTCATCTGCCCAGACACCAGCCTACTGTATCCTGAGTCTATTCTTGCCTTGACCCAATTCTCTGTAGATACCAACCAGAGTGATCTGCTTAAAAGTGTAAGACACTGAACAATTTGTGTAGAAATTGTTGAATGGGAACCTATTTTGCAATGTAAACTTTCAGAGAAAAGACAATAAACTGTATTTTTTAATGTAAGTCAAATGATATCATTCCTTCTTTATAACACTCAAATGGCTTCCCATCTACAAGTCCCTGACCCATCTGCCTCTGCAGACCACTCTGGCCTTTTTTCTGCCTCCCAGGCTCAACACAGGACAATCTCTTTACCAATGGCTTTTGTAACTTTGCTTCCTCTGACTTGGATGCTCTTTTCTCCTCATCCCCGCCCCTACATTCTTTATAGCATTAAAGTCTCTGTCTCAGAGGATTTTATATAAATGAATGCCTGCCCCATTTTATTGTCCTGATAGCGCTGAAAGTTTGATGTATTTGTTTCTGAGTTTAAAACCTATCTACCGCCACTCCTCTCCCAGACTCCACATGCACATACACTAGAATGAAAGCTTCAGAAGGTCCAAGACCTTGTTGCTCTGTTCACCAATAGAACAGAGCAGTTAGTATGTGGTCAATAAACACATGTTGAATAGATAATTGACTGAGTGGAAAGATGGATAGATGGGTGGATGGATGGGTGGGTGGATGGATGGAGAGACGGATGGATGGATAAAAAGAATGATATGGGAACACGTCAGGAAGAGGAACCAACTCTGCTGTCACTTTATTTTTATGAGTCATAGCATAGAAATATAATGTAGAACCTTAAGTCTTTGTTTTTTTTATGGGGTGGAAATATATTTTATAACGCAGAGTCCTTGCTTACACATTACTTCCTCTAAGAGGCCTTTCCTCACACCTATCTAAATCAGTTGTCTTGTTCCTGCTTATATTCCATACCAAACCCAATCCATTGCCATCAAGTCAACTCCAACTCATAGGCACAATATAGCAGAGAATATAACTGCTCCTATCTGGTAGCATAGTGGTTACGAATCGGGCTGCTACCTCAAGGTTGGCAGTTCGAAACTACCAGTGGTTCTGCGGTTTTACGAGAGAAAGATGAGGTGTTCTGCTCCCATAAAGATTTACAGCTGTGGAAACCCTGTGCAGGGTCACTATGAGTTGGAATCAACTCCACGGTACTTAACAGCAACAACAACAAATCTGATTTCCAAGGCTCTGAATCTTTACGGAAGCAGAATACCATCTTTCTCCTGCAGAGCAGCTGTTGGGTCTGAGTTCACCCTTATGATTAGCAGTTAAACACTTAACCACTGCATCACTAGGGCTCCTCTGCTCATAGCACTGTACTTCACTGTACTTTTATTTCACTCGTATCGCATGCTGTGATTATATATTTGTACATGGGATTGTTTGCTGAATGTCCATCTCCCCAGATAGACTGAGCTCCCCAAAGGGGAGCATCATGTCTATTTGCACATCACTGTGTCCCTGGCGTCTAGAATCATGTCAGGCACAAGGAAAACTCAACCAATTGTCATTAGATGAACCAGTCTTCAGGGTACCGATTATTTAAAAAACCCTTCTAAATGAATGAGCAAGAAAGAAAATTGCATATGTGTGCTTGCCACATGCATTTTAAAACACGATATACATTGCATATGTTTCATGAGACATCTAAATGTTTCCAAAATTTACAAGTGTAAACACATAATTCCACAGTCAGTATTTGTACATTCAAAGAACTGAGTCATGCCTTCTGTTGTGACATCAACTTCCCCTGGGCTTTGGGACAGTTCTTGAACTGTATTGGGCCCCTGTGTAGCCATCACCCTGTAATAATTAACAGCTAAAATTTTCATGAAACAAAAAAGATTGTCCTATAAAGTACTGAAGAAGAGCAAGAGAACAAAATACACTTTCCCAACCCTTCATTGAAGGTTGTTGGGTTTTTATGGTTTTGTAATGGCTAAACATATTTTTCAGCTACTAGAATATTCTCATTCTTCTCCCTCTTCATATCTTTTGAAGTTAGGTTGCCTCATGCCTACGTCTTTGAGGTTTTCTCTTTTCAGTTTCTGTCTGAGCTCCTGCTCACCCATCCACTCATTCTATTAGTAGGATGAAGCCTGCTAGATACATGGCAGGCCATACCACAATAAGGCAGACACCGTCTCTGCTCTTCCTACAGCCTTCTGTGGACGAACTCACGTATCTGCAGCTCTGGCCCTGATGTCTTCATCAGGCTCCCATCTCTGCCATTTATAACTACTCACTAGACACTTTCAACTCAGTATATTTGAAATTAATCAGTTCAGGATTTCCTCTGTCTGTCTCCTTTTTTAGAGTCACTAGCTAGCAAATGGTTAAACACTCAACTATCACACTTCAACTACTAGTTCAAAGGTTATTGGTTTGAACTTCTCCAGCAGCACCTCAGAAGATAGGCTAGAGATACGCCTCTGAGAGGTCACAGCATTAAAAATCCTATGGAGTACAGTTCTACTCTGTACACACAGGGTCACCATGAGTCAAACTCAACTGGACCACAAACAACAATGACAACACCCTCGCTGGCCACGGCACTTCCGTTTTTCTCAGGCATCCACACCTATCTCAATTAGATTGCACATTTCCTGAGGACAAGAGTTAGGCTATAAATACTGCCATCGTCTCAGCAGAAGACTAAGTAATAAATACCCCATGTTTGCTATGCTGAGTTCAGCACTACTTGCTCATTCACCCTGTAAGAATTAACAAGCTAATTTTTGCATGGCACACATCCAAAATTATTTTTCTTGTTCTAAATGTTTTACATGATAAAACTACAACAAAAGGGGGGAGGGTAGGAGATCTCTAAAGCATCGTTAGGGGACAGAATCATTGCCCAATGATCACTTCATTTATAAATTAAGACTTTAATTAATTCAGAGGGAGAGAGAGGAAATGTCTAATTCGCTTTTATCAGAACTGGGCAGGTAACTCAATCCAAGGGTAAAAAGAAAAGCTTCAGACAGAAAAATACCTATCAAAACCATACCTCAGAATATCATGAAACTCATCTTCATGAGGAGGTATAGGCTAAAAGCACAAATAGTTAAGAAATTACCTACAAATTGCCATCAGTTCCCACACAATGTTGTTGTTATTAACTGCCATCAAGTCAGCTGCCAACCCATGACAGCCCATGAACAATGAGATCAAGTCACTATGATGTGAAAGGTTTTCACTGGTTGATTTTTGGAAATAGATCTCTAGACCTTTCTTCTGGTTTGTCTTCATCTGGAAGCTCTGCTGACATCTGCTCAGCCTCACTGCCATACATAAACCTCTAATGACAGATGAGCACTGGCCAGGAATTGAACCTAGGTCTCCCACATAGAAGACAAGAATCCCAACACTGAATGACTGCTGCCCTCTTCTATATGTTCACTTTAAGTGCCATCAAGTTGGTCCTTACTCATAGCAACCTTGTATAGAATTTCCAAGGGGCAGTGGTGGGTTTGAACTACTGACCCTGCAGTTAACAAGCAATCCAGTGCTTATCTTACAGTGCCACACCAAGACTCCCTTATGGCGGGCATTAAATAAATGTTTGCTCAATTAATAAATGAATAATGGAAAAGATTTTGATGGGAAACAAAATATTTAGAATGATTCTTAATCTTTTGAGAAATATAACTGAAAATTATCATTTTCTTACCAAATTATCTTCTTTAGTCTTGGTTAGAGATATACAACAAGATAAACAGACCATTGGCATGACCCAATACGACATGTCCTAGACTTTCATGCATTATGGACAAGTTTTCAACCATGATATAAAGTAACTCAGGTCTATAGACAAGGAAAAAGTGAAATCTATCTTGAAATCCATATTTTTAAACTGTTAGCTGTTTTAGGACCTTAATTATAACACTAAGTTTCTGGCATTTTTTCACATAATTGCTTATGTACTACAAGACACGCTACATTTCATTTCTTCAAACTGAATTGAAACCCTAAGGACAGTCTCTCTGTATCATACAAAAATATAGAATATTAACAATACTTACATTCCCTTTAGACTTTCTGGATCCTACAATAGGAGGCAGTGAAGAGGCTTTCTGACTGCAGAAACAAATTACCATTTAGAAATCTGAGCACTGTTTCAAATAATACATAATGCAAAACAATTGTCATCCCAACCTGGAAGGCAACCATTTACTGATATCTGTGTTTCACAAAAGGTACCACAGATTTTCCCAGCTTCACAAAGAATACCCTAAAATTTCTAAACTTTGTTTGAAAAGCTGTTCAATACTTTCCTGTATGCTATTTTAGTGGAGACTTATGAATAAACTTTTAGTATCACTTTAAATTTTTTCATGGGATTCTTAGTTGAATTCCAAAATTTCCTGCTTACATTTCAAAAGAATTATTTTCCCAAGCTGAGTAATTGTTTTCTCAGGTTAAGGTAAAGTTTATAATTTCCCATAGTTTTTATAATATCTCTTCTATCTGCCTCTAAGGGAAGAGCAGAAAGGTAGCACTTTGGCATTTGTATCCCGAGAGTCTGTAAACTAACCATTATTACACACACACAAAAAAAAATTCCTTAGACTATAAGCATGATATTATTACACAGATAGTTGTTATTAGGAAAATATTCATTCTGGAACCCACTAAGCCTCTCCAAAAATAGGACACATATATTCACAATAAAACACTTAAAAAAAAAAAAATAGGACACATATATAAAGGTAAATCTTACTAATTTGTAGGGGCTAGACCAACATAAGGTACACACAGTAGCTCATAGTAGATTAATTCACCTCTTTTAATAACTGTGAGATGTATAGTTAATTACCAGAGATTGTTAAACAATCTGATTTCATGGGTGGGTCAGGATGTCTAGCAATATGTCTGCTAGTTAATAATTCTAAAGGGCTGGAAAACCAGGTGTTCTTGCAAAGTTCAAACCCTGCCCTGAAATACCATTTGATGTATTACTTATTTAGAAACCCTCAGACTGGCTCGCAATCAAATTACACCGATCATAAAAGGAGGCAAAACAAGAGGATGAAGTGATATAATGCTCCCATTTACACCCTCATCAACTAAACCACTGAATAATGAGTACAAACATGCACAGACTGAGATCTCAGAACTCCAGACAGTCATTGAGGTGATGGGGAGTCAAGATGCACCTGGAGTGGGAGAAAGGAAGAGCAGGGATGACACAGAAGCTGGAAGAACCTACTTATTACTACTGCAATTTCTCACTCATCACAGATATTTGGAAACAGGGTTGAGCAACACCTACAACATGGAACATAGAAAAGGAGCTAATCTGAGGAACTGGTAGTCTGATTTTTAAGGCAGCACAGAACGACTGTGGGGATTTGCAGACTACACAACTGGGAAAGGGTGACGTGAGACCATGATGCTGTAAGAGAGTGCTGTTGAATCTAATGAAGGACCCAGACAGACAAGTACTAAAACTGGAAGCAGCTCAGGAGCAGCAGGGCAAGGGGAATACACTGGGGAAAGAAGAGCCAGCAACCTGCTCACAGCAGGACACAGTGGGAGAGCCTGAGTGGAAGACATGGGGAACCCCGCAACCTTCACCTCAGAAAAGCTGAGCCCCATCAACTAAACCACTCCATCCCAAACATGCATCATTATACCAGAGATCAACCATCCAGAACTGAATTCACATTGAAAGCAAGCTAAGGATAAGAGCGGCCTCTAAAGTTTCTCAGGAGAAGAAACCAGGCCCAATGTTGATGGGTCAATTCTGACTCTTGGTGACTCTATGGAGTGGAATGGAACTGCCCTGTGGGGTCCCCAGGGCTATGAGGCTTTGTGGAGGCAGCCTGCTGCATCTTTCCCCTGAGGAGGGGCTCACGGAGGTGGTGGGCCCCAGTCTGTCAGTTAGCAGCCAGGCACTTGACCACTGTACCGTCAGGGATTCCAATCAGAAAAATACCCCACAAAAAGCAGGACACAAAATTGAAAGCAAAAAACAAAAAAGATAACAAAATGTCCTGAGTTTGATAAAAATAGTAAAACACACATAGTCACAAGAGAAGAAGAACAAATCAAAAGCAAAGCATGAAGAAAAGGAAATTTCTCCTATGTAGGCCAGAATAATGCAATCAATGGACACTTTTCAGGCTATCATGCTAAATACAATTAAAGAAAGCAAAACACATAGAAAACAAACTAGCAGAGATTACAGGGAGAAAGGAAGAAATAAAATGAGAGACTCAATGAAACTGAATACATAAATAAATACAATTCCAAGGTAGAATAGAAGAATAAATAAAAAGAATTTTAAAAAGCAAGAGAAACTCTGAATAACAAACAGAAGATAGAATAAATGAACTAGAATACAAAATAACTGAATTGATCAATTCTCAAGAGAAAGGAACAAAGAAAAAATGAGCAAACCCAAAAGGAAACATGGGATTCAATTAAGAAATCTAGCATTAAAATTACTGGAATCCTACAGCACAATGACATCAATAAAGGCATCGAAGCAATTTTCCAGGAGAGAAATTCACAGATCTGAACAGAGGACAAAGCCTGCAAACACAGGAAGCTGCATGAGCTTTAGTTAAAAGAGATACAAAAAGATCAGTTTGGTGCCACAGTGTAATAAAATTCATGAAAATCAAAGGCAAGGAGAGAATTCTGAAAGCAGCAAGAAAAAAAAAACGCAATATAACATACCAAGGGGCTTTCATAAGAATCAATATAAATGTCTCCCCAGAAATTTTAGAGCCAGATGACAATGGAGCAAAATGTATAAAACACTGAGTGAGAACAATCTCCAACCTAAAATTCTTTATCCAGCAAAGCTGTCATTCAAAAACAAGGGGAAAATCATGATCAACCCAAACAAATGTAAGTCTGGGAACTTGCCACTACCAGACCATATCTTCAAGTATTACTCAAGGGAATCATCCAAATGGAAAGGCAAGAGTATTAAATAAGTACTCATATTTATACATGGGGGGAATGAACAAACAAAAAATAAGAGCAAGAGAGATCTCAAAAAAAACACAACAACACAGGCAATCATAAAAATCAAGTATATGACATTTTCAGGTAATAAATTCAATAATTAAGTCCTGAAAACAACACAACATTGAACTGTAAGAAATCAGTACAGAGCAAACTTACTGAATATGGGGTGTCCATTCATCTTAATGGAAGCACAACAGCAGAACTGAGGACGGAAGGAGCACATCAGGAATGGATTTTATGTTAAGGTTGTGTGCTAAGCATTGTTGCGATTGCAAGATGTGCAACATATAATATGTAATCACCAAGAGGAAAAGAAGGAACATAGCAAAAAGGCTCATCATAAGAAAGGAGCCAAATACAAATGAAAACAGAAAGATCACAATAAAAAAAAAAGTTATGAAACAGTTGAAAAAGCAAATAGCAAAATGAATGAGACAAACACTTCAGTTACAATAATAACCTTAAATACAAGTGGTCTAAATGCACCGTGTAAAAGGCAGAGAGTGGCCAAATGGATAAAACTCATTACGCCTCCTCTTGCTGGCCCAAAGAAACACACTTTAGACATAAGGGACACAGACAGACCAAAATTAAAAGGATAGAAAAAGTCCATGTAACTAGTAAACAAAAAAGAACAGGTTGCAGTCGTACTGATAACAAATAAAATGAACTTTATATCAAAATCTATTACAAGAGATAAAGAAGGACAGTACATAAGAAAGAAAAAAAAAAGAGTTAGTTCAGTAAGAAGATATAACAATTATAAATATATATATACACCTGTGGACTAACAACTGCAAGGTCATCAGTTCAAACCTAGCAGCTCTCGGAAACACGACACAGGATCATTGTAAGTTGGAACCAGTTCTTTAGCAAACAACAGCACTGTGCCAAAATACATAAACAGTGACTAGTATGAAAGGAATGGAGCTCTGGTAGCGTAGTGGTTACGAATCGGGCTGCGAACCTTAAGGTCAGTGGTTTGAAACTACCAGCCGCTCCGCAGGAGAAAGATGAGGCTTTCTACTCCCGTAAGGATTTACACCCTCGGAAACCCTGTACAGGGTCGCTATGGGTCGGAATCGACTCGACGGCACTTAACAACAACAACAAAGTATGAAAGGACAACTCTACAAGAATAGTAAGGAACTTCAACACACCAATTTCAATGATAAATAGAACATCTGAAAAAGAATCAGTAAGGACACTGGGAACTTAAATCAAACCATAAGCCAAGGCCGTGGATTGACACAGTGGCAGCAGCAAAGGACTCAAATGTACCAATTGTGAGGATGCTGCAGGACAGGGTGGTGCTTTGGTCTGTTGTGTACAAAATAGTTATGAGTCGGAACTTACTTGATGGAACCTAGTGACAACAGCAATGAAACTAATGGACATATATGGAACACTCTACCCAGTGTGCATAGATCAGTTTCTAGAATACCTAATAAGCTAAGACACAAAACAAGTCTCAACAAACATTAAAAGATTGAAATCATATAAAGCACCTTCCCTGGTCATAATGGTATGAAGCTAGAAGTCACCATCAGGGAAAAAGGTGGGGTGGGGGGAACCATGGAAATGAAATATCATGTTATTATCAGTGTTGTTAAGTGTCTTCAAGTCAGTTCTCACTCACAGCAAGCCTGTACAGATTTTCCAAGGAGCAAATGTTTTGTTAGCAGTCCAGTGTTTATCCTACAGTGCCACACCAGGAAAGGCATCCAAAAGTTCATGGAAAATTATATTAAAAGATAATGGAGTTTTTCTACATTACTTTTTTTTTTTTAAGTTTTTATTGTGAACTGACTGATAATCTACATGGGAGAACATCAGATTTAAACCATCATTTCATTGCATTGATTATAATCTCCTCCTTGCATCATCATTCAACAGTATTTGCTTCCATTCCCTCTGTTTGTTTGTTTGTTTGTTTGTTTGTTTGTTTGTTTGTTTGTTTGTTTGTTTGTTTTGGGGGTGAAGGGAAGTATGTACACAGAAACACTCAGGAATATATAATAATTTAAACAACCAAAGGGCACATTCTGCAAGCCTGCCTCCTGGCCTCCAGCATGCAGTCCCTCTCTTTCCATGAGTCCAGAGTCCTGAGCTTCTCTCTCTCCCGTGTCCTCATCTCTGCATTCATCTCTTGTGTTGCTGCTTCTTTGGATATGGTCCCACACTCTGCTTGTGCTAGGTCCTAGAGTCCTAAGATTAACTACTCCCCTGTTTCTGTTACAAAACTTCTACCTTACAGTTGTGATAGTCACAATTAGTCATGATAACAAATACTCATTATTGAATCATAAGAATCTTATTCCCTTCTCTTTCCAGCAGACCTATCTAGACAAGATGAAAACTAGTCAGTGGGGACTGTACTTTGCCCCGCACACTCTTAAAGTAAACTCCCTCTTGCAAACTTGTAAGCCAGTCACTTCATGCCTTTATCATCCCCTCATTTTGGTAGCCAATGTCTAAGTTGCCCATCCCTATCTACCCGGTATACAGAGGTGATAGTATTGATACTTGATGTGAAGACTCCTTCCCTCTCACTTGGTATTTTAAGCTACTACATCCATAAGTATAGATTAAGTTCACCAGGTTGTAGCAATTTACACTTGTTTACTTTATCAAAAGTTGTTTTCTTTTATCTTTCTCTAGTTGAGTTCTGATTATCAAGCCATCGACGCTAGGTCAAATTGGTACTATCTGCAAGTGTGGGTGTTCTTGTGCATCTCCCCTCATTTCATGTCAGCTGGATGCTTCACTCTCAGCTCTAGCCCTCTGTGGCTATGTCCTTGTCCATGGGCTCAGGAGTCCCCACGTTTCACCACACTTTGGACCAACCAGACCTTCCTCTTCTCTCTCTTATCTCCTGGTTGACAGGAGTCTATGGAACGTGGTTGAACTCAGCCCAAATCGTCATTGCTGCCTTTCCCCATCTTCCACTCACCAGTAGACCAACATGGTCACCAGCAAGCTTACATGCCTGCTCATGTGTTCCCTTTGAGTTTCAGACTTGGAGGGGGTTTGTCTTGAAAGGACTTGGTTGCTTACCTTGATGGCTCCCCATTGAACAACTTGTTTTTCTTGTAGCAGCCAATCATCTACATTACTTTTTTAAGTCCCTTCATATACTACTGAAAAACTATTGGTTCATAAAAAAAAAAAAAAAAAAAATTAACTGTCAAAAAAAAATCACACTGCTATGGAGTCAATTTGGACTCATAGTGACCCAACAGGGCAAAATATAACTGTCCCATATGGTTTCAAATGTTGGACATCTTTACAAAAGCAGACTACCTCATCTTTGTTCTCAGAGTGTTTGGTGGGTCCAAACCATCAGCATTTCAGTTACAGCCCAACACTTAACCCACTGCAGAAGCAGAGCTCTTATTGAGTCACAGAAAAAATTAAAAGTCAAATTTTTTAATTTCTGAAATTAAATGAAAATTTTAAATTTCTAAAATTAAATGAAAATGAAAACTTTGCAATACAACAAAATCAATACTCAGAAGAAAGTCTATAGCAATAAATGCCTATGTTAAAAAAGAAGATATAAAACTATCCATTTAAACTGACAACTTGAAAAAATGAAAAGGAAAAGCAAAATAAGTAGAAAGTTAGCAGGAAGAAGGAAATAATAAAGAACAGGGCAGGAAGAAATAAAGTAGAAAATAGAAAAACAGTAGATAGAATCAACAAAATCAGAAATTCATTCTTTGAAAGGATCAATACAATAGGCAAACCTCAGACTAGACCAACAAAAGGAAAAACCATAAGAGACAAACAACCAAATTAAAAAGTGAAATTATAGCTGACAACTATGAAATACAGATTTATCACAAAATAAGAGAATGATGAGATCATCAAAAACTATCAACAACAAAAAATGCCCAGGACTGAATGGCTGCACTGGAGAATTCAACCAAACATTCAGAAAACTGTTGATACCAATCCTACTCAACTTCATCAAATACATAGAAGAGGAAGGAACACTATACCAAATTCTTTCTATAAGTACCAGCACAACATCGATACCTAAACCAGACAAAGACACCACACACACACACACACACACACACATACGGCAGATCAATATCCCTTATGAATGAACATAGATACAGCAACATATCAGAATCATCATGCATCATTATCAAGTGGTATTCATACCAGGATTAAAAGGGTGGTTCAACATTTTAAAAATTAATCAATGCAGTCCACCACATAAATTCAAAAAAAAAGGAAAAGAAGTACATGACAGCACCCAACAACAAAACATCTATGAACAACTGATTTTCAACAGGGGCCAAAGTCCATTCATTGGGGCAAAAACAATCTCTTTGATAAATAATGCTGGCAAAAGTGGATATCTACTTGCAGAAAAATGAAATAGGACCCATAACTCACACCATACACAAAAAATCTAACACAAAATGAATCTAAGACCTAAATGTTAACCCTAAAACCATACAATTCTTGGAAGAAAAAAATAGGGGGAAAACTATGGGAGCTAATCCTGTGTAAAACTAGGATAACACACATTATAATAAATGCATGAATAGATGACAAAATAGATAAGCGGGACCTTATAAAAAATTTAAAACTTATGTTTACTTAATGACTTTATTAAAACAGTAAATAGATGGTGTTCATGGTAAAAAAAAAAATACTATATAATCTTTCATAAATTTTCAATGGTAAATTAAGGGCATTTTTACTCAAGGAAACTGAAACCAGTCATTCGCATTTAAATAAAAATTATAACAGAAAATCCATTAGATAGATGGAACCAACACTACAAGGCAATACCATTGTACCCTGGCCAAAATGGCACTGATATAAATTTTTAAAGATAACAATTAACATTGGTGAGGATGTGGGAAGACTGGAACCCTCATCCGTTGCTAGTGGGACTGTAAAATGGTACAAATGCTTTGGAGAATGGCAAAGCATTTTCTAAAATTAAATTAGAAATATAACTACTCTATAAAGGAGCTATGGTAGCGTAGTGGTTACGAATCAGGCTGCGAGCCGCAAGGTCAGCAGTTCGAAACTACCAGCTGTTCCATGGGAGAAAGATGAGGCTTTCTGCCCCAGTAAAGATTTACAGCCTTGGAAACCATGTGCAGGGTCACTATGGGTCGGAACTGACTCCACAGCACAACAACAACAACAATCATCCAACAATCCCACCTCTGGTGGTGGTGGTGGTGGTGGTGTGCCATGGAGTCAGTTCCGACTCATAGAGACCCTGTATACTGTTTCCGAGGCTGTAAATCTTTACAGGAGTAGAAAGTCTTATCTTTCTCCCACAGAATGGCTGATAGTTTTGAACTGCTGACCTTGAGGTTAGCAGCCCAACTCATAACCACTATGCTACCAGAGCTCCTTAATCTCATCTCTTTGTTGTAGTTGTTATGTGCCATGGAGTCGATTCCAACTCATAGCAACCCTGTACAGGGTTTCCGAGGCTGTAAATCTTTACGGGAGCTGAACGCCTCATCTAGAGACCTAAAAATAATGATATGAGGAGCCATACGCACACCTATATTCATAGCTGCTTTATTCACAATAACAAAAATGGAAATAACCAAAGTGTCCATTAACAAATAAATAGATAAGCTAATTGTGATACAGGTCTTCCTGACAAAAAAAAAAAAAAAAGAAAGAAAGAAACTAGAACCATAGAGGACTTCCTGAGTCAATAGCCTTGGAACATTCTTTAAACTTCGAATTGATTTTATCAGAGATCACCTGCTTTTATCAAAATAGCAGGAGCATTACCCTTAAAAGATCAGTACCCTACTCTAAAGGAATCCTGGTGTGGCACTGTGGGTTAATGCGTTGAATTGCAAAGTTGATTTGATCCTCAAGGTTGGTGGTTCAAGCTCACCAGCTGCTCCTTAGAAACCTTATACCGGGTCGCTATGGGTCAGAACTGACTAGACAGCACTTAACCACAACAACAACTACTCAAAAACCTGTATGAGACTAAAAAGTCAACAACTACTTCAAAACAAAGCTGAGAAGAAAAGGATCCAGGGAAACTAGTGAGCTGGAAAGGGAAAAAATAGAACACAACTAAAGATAATGTTGGCACATTGTGACAAATGTCACTTAGCCATGCGTATAGAAACTGCCAAATTGGAACCTAATTTGCAGTGTAAACTTTCACCAAAAGCTTAATCAAATATTGTTTTCGAAAAACAAAAACTAAAAAACTACACAGATCATAAATTCTCTCTGCCATTATCACCCACCCTAGCACAATAGCCACAAAAATGTCAGTTTTATAAGATCTCTGGGAAATGTAACAGAGATAAATCCCACGGCAGCAAGCCCAGGAGACTCTGCAGCTGCCAGGGACCAGAGCTGCTCATCTTGCCTCTGATGTGATCACTTCAGCAGAATAAAATCACTTTTCCAAAACAGATAGCATTTCAGGGAGAAATAAAGGTAGTCACAGTTCAATGTGTGTATGCAAAATTGTAATACTTAAAAGGTGAATGATTAAATAAATGTACACCCAGTCTCTCTATTTTCACATGTGGGATTACAATTTTAAATTGTTTTAAAATCCTACAGTTTATTAAAAGAGGTGTAGAGCAGTATATTTGTTTGAACACTTTTGGATGTCTATATCTAAGCCAACTGAAATACAGTTAGATCGAGTTAAACTGCAGAGATTGTTAAAGTTTCTAATAATATTTGCTCTAGGGAAGCTCATTCCCCTGTATCCCCTTCACAAAAATAAATCTTTATATTTGTATAGATGGTGTTCATGGTAAAAATAATAATAATAATAATATATAATCTTTCATATATTTTCAATGATAAAATAAGGGTGTTTATACTCAAGGAATCTGAAACTAGTCATTCTCACTATATATATATATATATATATATATATCCCTTAGGTTATAAGAACAAGCTATATAGATTACTATATAATTAGGGAAAGACTCAGTGTGAAACTGGATTGAACCACAAAAGATTCAGTACTATTTCAAGCGATAACTAGAACAGAGGGAGAGACTAAGGAAGAAGACTTACCCGTAAGGTCTTCTCATTGTGGACTTGTCAAAAAGTAACTCACTGTAAGGCAATTTCTTGAACTTATCTCTGCCAACAGCCACATAAAACTGCCCATTCTCCAACTCTGTCCCACTTTCAACAAGTTTTCCTTCTAAAGTATAAAGTCTGTCAAAACATTAATGCCAACAGTTAGAATTTTAATAAGCACTTAAAGAGTTACTTAAAATCACAAGGTAAATAAAAACATTTTGTTCTTAATTTGATTTATGTGTTACTGTTCTGTTTATTATTAAATTATAAATGTTGCAATGCCACTACACTGAAATAAACGGCAATATTATAATGTTGTTGTTGTTGTTGTTAGGTGCCATAGCGACCCAATGTACAACAAAACAAAACATCACCCAGTTCTACAACATCCTCATAATTGCTGCCACTGTACCAATACATCTCATTAGGCTTCTTCCTCTTCTACACTGACCCTCCACTTTACCAAACATAATGTCCTTCTCCAGGGACTAGTCCCTCCTGATAATATGGCCAAAGTATGACCAACGTATGTTATAATGTAGATCCAATTAATATCTGGCTATTCAGAGTTACACTCCAGTGAGCCTGACAAATTTAACATAAAGAGCCCCTATTGCTACCGTGTTAAGGTCTCGGAAGGAAAAACATTGATTTGTACAAGTTATAGTATTTTAAATAAAGTCCAGTTTCTGATGATGGCTGATTCTTCTATTAGTATTTTGTGAGTATGAAATTTACTTTCTAAAAATTTACTTTCATGAAATTTACTTTCTTCATGTATTTGTCATGCTGACAAAGCCTCTAGCCACACTCTTCAAAAACAGACATCAGCAGAAGTACTACATCCAAACAAACACAGATGTGGGTCAGGAAAAAGGAGGTGAGAGGGCAGGCGGGAAAAGAACCAATTGCCAGAATTGCTGATACAGAGCGGCATAACATTCATGCTTCTTTCCTTTTTTGCCCACCCTCAAAAACAGGAGCATGAACATTATAGCTTCCCAGACTCAAGAGATTTCCCAAGAGCCTCCCTTTACTGTAAACTGGCTACTTAAAACAACAATTAATATGTTACTTATTCATTGTGATAATTTTACTACACGATTCAAAGTGTCCACAGAACTTAAAAAAAAAAAAACTAGGAAAAAGCAGGCTGTGAAACTAAAATAGAAAGTCAGTGAACATTATTGAAGGTTATAAATAAGAGTAAGTAACTGGAGGATTTAAGGTAATCATGAAAAAATTCTCTAACTTCTCATGTTACATAATGAATGCTATGACATTTGCAAAGGAAAATACTTTATTGGTCCATTTTTATAAATAAATAATTCATTGTTGACTGATAGCGCTGTTCTTCTTAAGTGCCATTGAGTCAGTTTGGCTGTAGAGCGACCCTAAGCACAACAGAGTGAAACATTGCCCAGTTCTGCACCAGCCTCACAATTGTTAGACTTGAGTCCATTATTGCTGCTACTGTGCCAATCCTCTTTGTTGGGGGTCTTCCTCTTTTTTACTGACCCTCCACTTTACCAAGCATGATGTCCTTCTCCAGGGACTGGTCCCTCCTGATAACCTGTCTGATGTATAAGAGACAAAGTCTTGCCATCTAAGGAACATTCTGTGCTGTGTTTCTTCCAACACGGATTTGTTTGTTCCCCTGGAAGTTCCTGGTACTTTTACTATTCTTCCCCAACACCATAACTCAAATGCATCAATTCTTCTACAGTCCTCTTCATTCATTGTCCAATTTTCACATGCATATGAAGCTAGTGAAAATATCATGGCTTGGGTCAGGCACACCTTAGTCCTCAAATAGATATCTGCTCTTGAACACTGAAATGCAGCACAGTTGCAACCTCCCTCAGTCAAGCACAGTGTTCCCCCGGGGCAAAACTGCCCTTGGTTGAAAATCACTGACCTAGACCCAGACCCAGGCATTCTTTATCTTTCATTTACTTTCAAGATAGGAAGATCACAACCAGTAGATAACTTTTATAGCTAGAAAATCAAAGGCGACATAGTTGTGGACTCTGGAAACAGTCAGGATTTAACTAGTTTCCTCTGCTGGTAGGAAGAGGGTATTCAGTAAATTCTAAGCCCCTGATTTTAGTTTTTCTTTTTTATAGTTAACACGATTCATGTTGACATTCTCTCTTTCTTTGATAAGATACAATATACAAATGGGCTTCAAAAAATCCATAATAAAAATGCAATTAAAAGACCATGAAATTTTTCCACAAACTTTTGAAGTCCCCTTGTATACATAAAAGGGAGCTAATCCAATTTTTATGAGATGACTTTAATATTTTGATCTACTGATCTGTAGACTGAGGAGAGTCGTAATGTTCTGTTAAGAGAAAGTGCAGATGTCTGAAGTGAACAGCAGCCAGATCTCACTCATATCTGGCATTACATTAAGAGTTATATTTTTTAAGTATGAAAGTGGAGTCCTGGGTTGGTGCTGCAGAATAAACACTGGAATGCTAACCACAAAGTCAGTGGTTCAAATCCCCCAGTCGCTCCTTGGAAACCCTACACAGGACTCAATGGCACTTGACTTTGTATTTGAGGAACATAATTTCATTTCTTCATTTTCACTTTTTACTTGTATATATTTTTTATTTATATATGTATGTGTTCATGTCAATATATGAATGAATAGGTTTATCTAAGCTTCCAATTATGCATATGAGTGTATACAGTTTTGTATGCCTAATGTTATCTGTATCTTTATTGGGTACGTTTACACATGTGTCTACCCAAAAACATAAACTATACGTCATTTTCATATATATAATCTTCTTTTATTCCTGACACCAAAATTAAAACCCAAAGATCAAAGGCTTAAATAAAATTTAAAACTGCAAGATGAAAACATGGAGAATTCTTTTATAATCTTGGAGTGAGAAAGACCTAAGCTAGCCATAAAACAATGATGATATGGAAAAGTTGGTAAATTTGATTGCATCAAAATTTTAAATATCTGTATGCAAAAAAAAAAGAAACATAGTGTCAAAAAATACAAACTGGAAAGGCATTTAAAACTCAAATTTCAATTTGTCAATTCCTCCAACATGTAAAGTTGTTGCTATTAAGTGCTACTTGACTCGAAGCAACCCTATATAGGGTTTCTGAGGAGAGGACGATGAATTTGACCCACCGACCTTGTAACTCAAACTGACTTGGTGGTTGAGTACTTATCCTACCGTGCTCCACCAGGACTCCAGTACACAAAGAGACCCTGCAAATCAATAAGACAAATGGG